GGTGGCGAAAAGTTACCTTCTGTTACAAAGCCAGGTACTGTTCTGCCTGTCTTGCCAAGCAGGTGTGAGTGTTTTCTCTTGAGTCAGGTGAAGGCTTGTAGATAGAGTACTGAATTCCTGTAATTTTCATATCCAGAAGTGGGGTAAAGAGGTGAACATAGCTACAAATGACTATTTCTGGCAAAAATAACCTCAAAGGATGTGCAATAAAATAGCCTTATCTGCATGGATCCCAAACTTGTAATCCTTGAAGTTTAAAAGAAAAAAAAAATGGGGGCAATATTTACTGCCTTGATTTTACAACACTAATCTTTTGTCCCTTTCTGGTCCTGTCCATCTAGCAGTCTTTCCCTCTCTTATTGCTGTTGTTCTCAAGAGAGCATTAAACTTACAAGCGGTCCAGCCATTATAGGGAAATAGCAAAAGATGAAAGGCTAGAGAAGAATTGGAGAAACTTGTAACATTACCCAACATCACTGCCCGAGGGAGATAGTGATAATGGATAAAAATCTAAAGCGCAAACTTGGTCTAAACCTGTGTATTTAAATCCAGAATCACTGAGATCGGAGCATGCTTGTCTGAGGGCACTTATAGGCATGTAAAGGCTAACAACATTGTTAGTGATAAACAGCAGTGGGTTTATGAAGCAGGAGTACAGCAGACAATAACCTTTCTTGATACAATTAGATAATTAGCGGGAAAAAGGAATGCAGTGGATAGACTGTCTCTGGACCATGCATGGGCTTTTGCAACAAAGCTGTGCAAGATCTTATTAGGGAAATTAGATCAAATTGGTTTTGATACAAATCCCGTGAAATGAATCATGGATTAGCTGACAGAGTGTAAACAGAAGGGTTAGAGACATTCTTTATCCTTCTGCAAAGGTGGTGTCCAAAAGGGCAGTGTTTTGGTTTTAAATATTCATTAGTGACCTGGAGAATGTGTAAAAGGAATAGTTCTCAAATTTACAGCTGACACAACTGAAAGATACTAGAAAAAAATAAAAGTAGAAAAAAGAAGAGCTAGGCTGAAAAAGTGAGCATTATTAACAGGCTTTGGTAAAACAAATGGCAATTAGCAGTGTGTGGTTTAAAGATGATACTGGATCTACTTTGGAACAAGGAGAATCTCCAAATTTCATGTTGTGCAGAGCATGGTGGCAAAAGCAGCTTATGTTCAGAGAGGTCCCAGTGAGACAGTGGCTATCAAATTATGTGAGCTGATGTGCAACCTGATGTCTGGCAAAGCTACTGCTCAGTTGGTCCATATGTCTGCCCGCTGTGTGCTTTCCAGAGTGACTCTCCTCTGTAGTGCTGTGGCATCGCACTGTGCGATTTGGGGCACCGTGCTGCAAGAGGGACCCAGACAAGTTGGAACAAATCCAGAGAAGGGCCACAAAGATGCTAAAGGGATTAGAGGGAATGACCTATGATGAGGAAAGGTGAAAAGAACGAAATATTTAGAACCTCTAAGCCTGTTACGTGGGCACGGAAATAGTAACAGAGTTTCCTGTGCCAGCACAGAGGAGAGTTGGATCAAGTCTCTCTCCTTTTACATTCCTCTGAAGGTAACTAGAGCTGAGCAAAATGGCTGTTCATCGCTTTGAACTCTTTGCAAAAAATGTTTAGCTGTTCTTCTTGAAGTTCAAGATGTTGTATTTCACTGCCAGGGGACACTCTGAGTCTGTTTAAAAATCTCCACAGGTTCTCCATGAGACTTGCAGAAAGTCAGAGCTGGTGAGGCTTAACTCAGTGTGTGCTGCCCAGCAATAATCAACTATGCAAGTTGTTCCAGAGGACAGGAAAGAAAAACACAAGCTCTGGAATGGCTGGAGTCACCTTAGCTATGATCTTTGATCTGTCTTGGTGTTAAGGACTTTTGCCTCTAAAGCATGTGTTCACATCTAACCAGAACTCGCTATGTATTACTGTCTCCTGGAAGGGAACAGGAGCATCCTCAGCTGTAAGGATGTAAGGGGTTTGTTGCTATCCTTGATTTGCCATCAGACAGTCACTGTTTGCCTGCCTTGGAGAGGAAGGCTCCTTAATTGAGGTTGTGAGTTGAGAAGTGAGTTGGTTGTAGGAGACTAATCTCCCCTCTTTTTTTTTTTTTTTTTTCAGTGGAGGGAAATACCTCAGTGGGTCCTCTTGAGGTCCTCTGTGAATTTGGGGCTTTTTAAGAGACAGAAGCTGGGGTTTGAACACCGCTGACTGAATCTGAGAGTACAGCTCACCTCCTTGTCATGCCTTCTTCATAGTGTTGTCCTCTGTCTGCCCTTAACATTGCAACTCCAACTCCTTTTACTGTGGAGTTCCTCAGTGCAGAACAGTGTTTTATGGTGGTTTTGCCTTCCATTTTGACCCTAATCTCATGTTATTGTGCCCAATGATCTTCAGCTTTTTACTACAAACGCACTTCTCAGGTAGAGAGAGGTTCCAGAATCTGGCCTGCACAGCAGCTTTCAGCTTTGCTGTGAGATGCTAAGATCTGGTCTCAGCTAGCAAAGCTTCATCTTCCTCCACACAGTCAGCTGGCATTACACCAGGAGATCTGCAATCTGTCTAGGTGCCCTGCGGGATTAAAAATGCATGCACCTGCAAAAATTATTCCTCTAACTGCTCCATGGCCTCTAGTCCAGTGTGACCCTCTGGGCAAAGCATGGGCATTCATCAACTCATCACGCTGTCTCTGAGAGGGACCAAACTCTGGATTCCTCTCAAGTAATACCAGGCAAAGCAGCCGAGGAACGTGAGATGCTTGCCCATACTCTCAAGGTCAACAGTCTTGCCAAATAAAAAACTTGGCTGATCGATCCCAGAGATAGGAGATGAGGTCAAACATCGAGGATGAAACAGAGAAGGGAAAATTAGGAGATACTTAAGTCAAATGAGATCATAAGAATGCAGGACTGTGAAGTTGCTGCATATCAAACATGTACATTCGTATCAACAGACATACAGATGTGATATGTATATGTGTGCACTCCAGCCTTGCTGTATCACAGAATGGTTTGTCCTGTCCCCTGACGGATTTGACCTCTTGGCAGAAGGAGTTGCCACAAATACCAGGTAAATAGGCTGAAACTGAAATAGAAATAGAAATTACCCGCATGACCATGGTGTGGTAACTTTAAACCAGCAGATCTTCCAAGAAGAAAAGTCAAGCATCCCCAGTCAGTCAGAACTCTTTGGACATATCATCAGGAAAATACATGTATTTAAGTTTTCTTAAAAGCCTTTGACAAATTATCTTGCTGAAGGGAAAATTTAACCTCTCAGGTTAATGCTATTATCAATTAAAAAGTGTCTGAGACAGAAAAGAAAGGGTAGACACACCCTACCCAGAAAAGAAAGAGAAGTCAATTTTCAGCATGATAAAGGTTAACACGACTCACCCACAAAGATCAGTGTTGTGGTGTTTGATCCATGTGTTAATGATCTGGGAAGTGCGTGAACAATGAGGCTCTGCAGTTGACATCAAATTATCAAGGAAGACTGAAGAACTCCAGAGGATCCTAAAAAAGCTGGGTGCATGGACAGCACAGTGGTAGATGAAATACACTGTTGACTATTGCAAAACATTGCGCACCAGAAGGCATTAATTTGATTTTTCATACATCTTAATGGATTCTAAATTAACTGTAGCAACTTAGGAAAAGATCTGAGGGTTGCAGTAAGTAACTTGCTGATATTCTCTGTTGAAGAAACGGTAACAATTTAGATTTTAATTTGAAGAGAAAAAAACCAAACAATGTAAGGAGTTATATAATAGATAGGCTGAAAATAACATTGAAAATATGGTAACGTCGGTAGGTAATTGATGGCATGCCTTTGTCTTGACTACTGTCCAGACCTTCAGCTGGAGAAGTGATGGAGCAGTGCCAGTTTCATGCTGCTGAGAGCTGGCTCACTGAGCTCTTTTCTGGACTGAACAGAAATAGCCAGACCAGAGGAAGTTCAGAAGTGGATGATAAAGCAGATAAGAGGTCTGCAAAAACTTCTGCGTGAAGAACAATTATATAGATAATGAAGAGCTGAATGAGGAGAACACGGCAAAAATACATTTCCCGAGAAGGAGAGTCAGGACACATTCAGGGAGCCTGAAAGGCTGCAAATACAGTATGGGCAAATAAAAGTGGGATTTTTTGATTGTTCATACACTGCACAAGTAACCCCTGGAACTCACTGCCATAAGATATCATAAAAATTAGAAGTGTCTAAAAAAAGCCTGAACATTTATATAAAGAGTAAGACTGTCTGTGACTACAATAAGTAAGAAGAGGTTGCAAATTTGGTAAAGATGCAGTCCTTTCCATATACTTAAGAGCATAACCCTATCTCTAAGAAGTGGGATTTTGAGAGAAGCATCTCCGTGCAAAAGCCTTATATTAGTAAATAGAAGAAAGATAAAGATTTAAGATTAAGCTGGAGGAAACTTTTGGTCAGATGATTATCCTTAAGTTTCTAAGCTCCCCTTTTAGTGATGATAGTGAAGCGGGCGGGAAGGAATCCAACATGAAAATTCATCAAAGACTTCTGTATTACAAATGAAAATCCGATCTGAGCAGTCCTTCCTGCAGTGTCTGCTGGTGAACTTTTTGCTTGGAGCCAGAGCAGCTCATCCTGAACTAACAAACACCTTTTTCACCTGGCCTGCCACAGACAGGCTCATTTCTTTCTGCTGCCCCAGGGGTAGATTGTGCTCTGGGTAGATTGTGCCTCATCAGCATTGATGCCCCTTCCCAGCACTGGAGCCTGTGAACAGCCTGAAATTGTGATCTAGCCTTGACTTTATTATAGCATGAGTTTGTGGGGAGTAGGCAGGCTGTTCCTAGTGAGTTGTACTGATATTCCTGAAGCAGAAGTGCCTGGGGGGGGTTGAACTGACTGAGCCAACAGGAGTTGGACTGAGGTGGGAAAAGGAGGGCTCTCTTTTGACCAACTTGGAGCTGGGTTTGGCCAGGAGGCCGCTGAGTGCCTTTGCTCTCTCCCTGCAGGCTGCTCGGCAGAATGGCCACGGAGGAGCGGCATCTCTCCTCCAGCTGTGGGTCCTTCATCAAGACCGAGCCCTCCAGCCCATCTTCTGGCATCGACGCCATCAGCCACCACAGCCCGAGTGGCTCCTCCGACGCTAGCGGTGGCTACGGCATCGCCATGGGTGGCCACCCCAATGGCTTAGACTCGCCACCCATGTTCAATGGCACGGGGATTGGCAGTGGGTCCTGCCGTAAGCGTTACGATGACTGCGCCAGTGCCATCATGGAGGACTCGCCCACCAAGTGCGAGTACATGCTCAATGCAATCCCCAAGCGGCTGTGCCTGGTGTGCGGGGACATTGCTTCTGGGTACCACTACGGCGTGGCTTCCTGTGAGGCGTGCAAAGCCTTCTTCAAGAGGACTATTCAAGGTATGGTGGGAAGGGAGGGACACTGAGACATTCACTCCATAGCAAAAAAGGGAGGCAGCCCCAGACATTGCTGAGACTGCAGTGTTTCCATGTCATATAAAAAGGGGCAAGGGAGGGTGAGTGTAATGCACCTAACTCTCCATCCTTTTGTATGCCTCCTCTCTCCTCCTGCCCAGCTCTGGTCCTTCCAAATCAACCTGGACATGAAGTTAGGCTTTGTGGTGGTAAGAACCTTTGCCAAATTTGTAGCCTGGCTGGCTACCAGATCTGGGTATCTGGCCCAGTGGATCTTCCTGCCTCTGGTAGTGTCACTGATACCCTGATAATGTGGCTGCTAGTGGAGTGAGGCCTGGAAAGGAAATGCTTTGCACTCTAAAGGTGGTTTTAAGGCCCATTTGAAGAGTGGATGCTCCTGCCTAGAGATGGCATCTCTTTAGAGATGTCTACACCTTGAGGTGAAAGCTGCAGCATTACAGTAGAGAGGTTCTCACTCTGTCCTGCCAGTCTTAATTTGTGGCCATGGACTCCATACAGACCTCACCACAAGGTAGGACAGGGCACTTGGATGAGAGTCAATCCTTTTCCAGTTCCACCAACCCTTTTCATTAAGATGCAACTTCTTTGAAGATAAAAAATGTAGGCACTGAAGGAGATAGAGATACGTAGTTTTTGTCATTCTTCCTAAGGATGAGAAATTCCTCAGGTGATTTTGAAAACCTCAGTGCATATATGTGTAGATGAATTGCAGTGCATTGCTCCTGCATGTACAATTTACATATGATGTATATGGCTGTGTCCTGACTACCAAAGGTATGCTGCAGATGTGCATACATGCAGGTACCACAGTATAGCCAAAAGTGGGATGCATCCAGGCAAGCTCCAATATCCATGGATGCTTGGGTGTACTTATACAAGCAGGCCCCGTGTGAGCAAACATGCCTGGACGTACAGATACTTCCTTTATTTCCTACACTCTCTAACTGCAAAAAGGACAGGATCATTCACCTTCCAGTGGAAAGTGTATTGAGTTTACCCAACCATGGTAGGGGCAGATGTCCAGTGAGCAAGCAGCTGTGTGTGTACTTGGCTGTTAGCTGGGGTCAATCCACCACACCAACACTTCCTTGTCTCCTGTGAAATGAATGAAATGCACATGTGAGGAGAGCACAAATTTTATTTTTGTTCATTGAATGGGCCTGATGACACTCCGTGACCAGGGATGTTCAACTCTGGAGTGGACAGAGGAGTACAGGGTGCAGTTCAGCCCAGGTCTCTGCAGAATTCACTATTTCTAGCTTAATTTCTTAGATTCTAGATGTCTCTCCTTACTATTATCCAGCTGTGGAAATAATCACTCTGTATTGCCCCACTGACTCTTCCTCTTTTATTATGCCGTGTGGAAAGCATGGCCATCTCTAGGGCCATGGCCTGTTCCCTGGCAGGGTTTCTGTGATTTGTCGTTGCTGAATCTCCTGTGATTGAATGTGAACTTTTGCTTGGACTTCTGACTGTTGGCACTGACTCCGTCCCTTCTCCAGCACTTGGACCCATTCCCAGTGTTTCTTTTTGGCACATTCAGATGCTAAAGGAGGGACAGGGTAGTACTCTGAGCCTAGGGGCTCCTTATATAGGAAGAGACTGAAAAACTAACCCCTCATAGGAGCGATACTGGAGCATGTCTGTGGCAGAGCAAAAGAGGAGCCTAAGCTGGAGACAAAGAAAAAGACCCAGGAACTTTTGAAGAGTTTTCAGAGAAAATCAAAATAAAATGATGCAGGGTCACAGTAACTAGAGCCTGTATCAGCCTGGGTGATATGTCAGCTGACTTAATCTGAGGAAGGGAGAGCACTTCCTTCCAAACCCCTCTCCCCAGCACAGCCATATTCTCCCTGTGGTTCCCTAATTGATTGCCTGTTAACGTGTAACAGATGGGGGAAAGGAATAAGCGGAGATTTCTCTCACCCTGTCATCAGCTTGGGCTGGCGACTGAGGTACCAAAATGCTTTTATTCCCAAGTGTGGGAAAGTCGAGTGTGCTGTGCTTGAGGGTGAGCAATTTCAGCTATGGAGCTGAAGGCTGAGCCCAGGGGAGTGGGCAGCAAATAGGGCTGCAGAGGTTGGTTGAGTCAAGAAAATGCACCGTTCCCAGGGCTCTGCTGCAGTGCATGCAATATCCAAGCACAGCCCTGGGTATGCAGGGGAAAAGGGTTTAAGGATCATGTAAAAGAGATGGCATGTGGCAAAAGCATTTCCAAAAGGTGTTCATCCTGCAACTCTATTACGTTCAGTAGATGTGTTGAGCACCTAACTGAAGAAGTGGGAAAATATCCATCCAGGCTGCCTAAACATCGATATAGGGTGTGCAGAAAGCATGCAGATGTGTATGTTATACAATTGCATTCCCTGCTAGTATTAAAAGACTTGCCATGATGCTGGTATCTGGGAATGGTGTTGACTCAATGGTTTGATCACAGAGATGGAGCTAAGACCCTGCGATTTCCCAGGTGCTCAGGAGTTGCAGTAGGTAAATCATCAGGCTTTTGTGGTCTTGGACCAGCCACTTCACTTCTCTCTGCTTGAGTATTGAAAGATGAAAAACTAATGACTATTGTGAGAGTACTTAATCTGGTGGCCCTATGTTTGGTAACTTTATTAAGTAATAGGTGTGCATGCTGCTATAAAATGGCTTTAAATCTTTCCTGGATGATTAGACTCCTGCAGCCCTATCTAGATATCCCTGATTATGAAGCAAAGCTTCATGATAAGTCCGCCCTCCAACTATCCCCCTCCTCTGCTATAAATGACCCCAGTCTGCCTATTGTTTTTTTTAGCTGCATTAACTCCTGTAAAACCTGCATGTCTTGAGGCAGGAGGATCTTGCAATAGCTACTCCACACCCCCTGCTGCTGCCACAGCAGTGGGAAGAACGGACATCCAAGCAGCAGACCTTCTTTGAGCCTGACAGCTCTGCAACTCACTTTCCCCCTTAGCCAGGTGAGGCCAGGCTGTCCTGGACAGCACGAGGGCTGTTGCTTTTCAAGTGATAGGGAGAACATAGGCTGAAAGCCAGCATGGACATGGCTGGTTATCTCTGAGGTCACTACTATAGCTATGTGGGAGTTTTCCATCAGTAGGATTTTTCCAAAGAAAAGCAGAATTTTTACCAAGTCAGATTTCCCCAAGGAAAATTTTGATGATAGGAGAAAAAAAGAAGTCAATAAAATCCAAACCATTGATTCACTTCAAGCTGAATCGGAGTGGTTGGTTGTGCTGAACTAAGCCAGGATCACACAACAGGTCCTAACCTGTCCCACAGGTATCCCACACCTGTGACCTCTCTCATGTTGTGTTACATGGCCCCGAGGAAGGATAAAGTCCTGGAAACCTGTGTGTCATTTCTGCTTTGCAGCACTGGCAATGCTTGAGATGGAAAGGCGAAAACCTGAGACAAGATGACAGCACACGCCACTGGGCTACAGGCCTTCTTTCAGAACATGTTAATTTGAACCCCAGGGCTGGACTTCCCACACTTTGAGGCAGAGTCAGAAATTCTGAACTGACTTGAAGAAATTCTGAACTGACTTGAACAGACAGCTAGGCTGTCTGACAAAATTTTAATCCTATTTCTCTATCATTGTATTGCTTTGTGGGAACTGTGCTTTGGATCCCCATTATATTCTAAAAGCAGTCTGCATTTACCTCCATGATGCGAGTGTCCTCCATAAAAATATGTGCCATGGGCATCACCTGACTTTGTGAATATTGTGGAAGGTGCAATCTAGCAAAGATAGGAGAGACTCTGAGTTTCAGGCATGTTGAAGTGTGCTGCTATTGGTGCTTAAGAGAGATCTGATTTGAAACCAAGGATTTCATATTAGTTGAATGTAATGGAAGAGGTCCGTTACATGAAAGATAATGTGTTTTGGATGTTTCTGAATTAAAACTTTTTGAATTTCTATTTTTTGGAAATCCTAACTAATCCTTTCGTCCAAATTTTGGACAAGGGCAAATGCTGGATTTCTTACAGGATACATATTCTTAATCTAACTCTACTCTATTCCTTCTTTTAATAGTTTGCTCAGTAGATACAGCATTACATATCAATCAAATATATTGTCATTATCTTTTGTTCGTCAGTCGTTGCAACTGGTAGGTAGCTTTGCCTATTCTGAATATTAACTAATAACAGTGCTGTGTAACTGTATGAGCCCTTTATTATTCAACATATTCATGACTATGACTACCCTTCATCTATTTTTCATCTTCAAATAGTGCAAATTAAGGCTATTTCTAAAATGACCCATTAATATAGAATAAAAGCTTAAAGCTCAGCAAAATAAATCTGAATTAAGATTTTCCTCTCTGATCTTTGTGAATCATGTCATTGTGTGCTTGGAACTCATACCCATAAGGTGATACAACAGGACTTGCAAGGAGTGATACTGGGGAGAACTCGTTATTGGAGAGTCAGAAAGAAGAGACACATTTACCATCATCTTCTGAATAGGCAGGTTATGTGTCAGGCAAAGTGCCTGCATCTGTGGATTCCCTGCTTGAGTCTTGCAAGCTTCAAACTCAGTGAGTGTAGCAATACAACTCCTGCGCTGGGATGCCCTTACACCAATAAGGGGCTTAAAATGTGGATAATGCAGCTCAGAAGACTTGTAGGGATTTGTAACAGGCTTGTAACAAAATCCATAGTCTTCTAGGGCTTCCTGGTTGTCATTACGGTGGTTAGGGAGGCTCCTGGGAAGGGAGAAGCAGTTGAGAGAGTTTGCTCACTTTCCTGAGCAGAAGAGCATTACCATCCACAGGATCAGCAAAGGGCTTATGAGATGCAGAAAGGAGGTTTTGTGTCCCTACAGTAGAGGCCACGGCAGCCAGCCACTGTCCTATTCTTCTGTCCTTCTCAGAAACGTGCCTGCTTCTTTTCAGGTGGGAGTTCACAGCCAAAAAAAAGGAGATGTTCTGAGCTTTCCAAAAGCTTTTGAAGCATAACCG